AATGTAACAAGATTTAACATATTTCCTTAATAAAAGAAAAGGCTAAAACAAATCGATGAGCTGAAAAAATTACACAGCAAATCCAGAGTACAGAAAGCATTATTCCCAGAAAACAACCTCAAGCTTTAAAAGGGGACAAAACTACTTGTGCATGAAGAATTGCGAGTTAGAACCTAAGATTCATCCCTTATGTTCATCAGTGGACCCCACCTGCTCGGCCTTCTGCAAAAAAATGAGTTTGCATACATCATAAGATGAAGTGAACTTAAAGAAGAAAACGAGAGCATTTACACAGAGCTTCGAGCAAAAAGCTGACTTGGTGTCCTAACATGAAACTGCCATGGATAAAAGCACAAGTTGTCGTTAATTGCAGTAAAACCTAATTTTTAAAGAAATTTGAGCACATGCACGGCATATACTGAGGCTAGTAAAGTGCCCAATCGAATTATCTTATCAACAAATATGTAGGGCACATGTAAACGAGAGCCTATTAGCATACTAGCAGTTTAGTTTAACTTTTTACTGAGGAGTAACAAAAACTCCCCTGTTTGTGAGTGCTACACTCAAAATACAACATAATATCCTACCCTTTAGAATGATCAAGCAATAACTGTCTTTATGATTGAGAGCTAGAACACCTATATCATCTGTTCATTTAATAGTTAGAATGAGTTACAGCTAATGCAGCAAGAAAATACAATACAATAACAAAATAATAATCAAGAAATGCCAATTGGGACCAAGACATGTGGAGAGCTCAAACTCACTTAAGCAAGTAAACACATGAATAAAATAAAATCATTCAAGTCAATGTTAAAAGACAAAAGAACTAAAAAATGGATTCGAGCAGCTTCTTGAAGGGAATCCAATTTGAAAGCAGATACATTCTAGTACTAATCTGTGTTTTGTGGAACTAACTACTATCATCACATGATTCGAGTGGCTTCTTATGGTTTAACTAGTACTTCTCATTGCTTCCAAATGAAAAATAGGTCCTACTTATTTAGTTTAATACACAATCTTGAGAAGTATAGACAATTATCCGAGAGCCACTAAAATGGAAATTCACAACATCCGTATCAAGAAAACTTTGTCCTACTATCCCAATTTTCAAATTCAATGCAATTATAGTTGTGACCTCATAATACCATATGTGCATTGAACCCATCATAACAGAAGAAATCTTTGATGGGTGAGTTATCAGCCGATTCAACACTATGATCAAAGTCAGAATCCAACAAAGGATACTCTTTCACAATCGTTCCAGTAAGATCCAACATGCTGCATATTACTTCTTGTCCTTTACCCGAAACACAGATCGATCAAATTTGTTCTCTTATGGTTATGAATAGCCAAAACAGTGAACTAACATCAGATAAAGTATCATCCCAAATCAAAAGGGCTTCTCATTTGCCATATGAATATGCCAAAAGAGTGACACTAACATCAGATAAAGTATCATAATCGATCCCTAACCAAAAGAGCTTCTCATTTGGCATGTGAACATGCAGTGACAGAGACATCAACCGATTTTCATAACATATTTCTATATGCAAATTGAAGACTTTACGCTAAAAAAAAAAGAGAGTAATAATTACAATAAAATAGCTAAATAGTATGGAAAAGCAAGGGCAAACGCTTATTACCGATTGGGCGGAGTGCCAGGCGAGGCCACGGTAAACATTGACGGAGAAGGTAGCGGCTAGGTATATGGTGGCAACACCGAGACCCGCCGTGAAAGCTTTGAAGGCCCAGTCACCGATCTTGTTCGCCGCCATTAATCGACCGGCTGTCGGCTGATGATTGTTCGAGGGTTTGCTGTCGTAATTGTAAGCTCTCGAAGATCCCAGCTCTGGTTAACCCCAAATCCAAGCTAGGTTCTGCAATTAAGTAACCTGCGTCTCCAGAAATCAGGGCAACTAGTGTACTGTTAAATTGAACAGTGTCTCGCTCGGCTGGTTTTATAAATGAGCCGTGCTCGAGCTCTTTTAAAGCTCATTTGCTTAATGAGCTGAGCTCAACTCGACTAGATAAAGTTTGGAAGTAGAATTTTTATATAATTTTTTATAGTTCGTTAAAACTCGAGATTAAACTCTACTTCAGGTTCGTTTATTTAACAAACTCAATAATTTTTTATAGCTCGACTCATTAAGGACTCGAACTCGAGCACCCTAAACTCAAACTCGGCTAGAAGATATTATTAATATATCTTTTCTTTGCATAAACTGGTCGATCTTGGCTTGGACCTTTATTGACTCGATCCCAACTCAAGCCAGATAGACGATATCGTCGAGTCTAATTTACTAAAATAAAATGTAGAAACTCTTATTTCTTAACAAGTCTTAAAACATTAAACGAAATAAATCGAACGTACGATTAACTCATTTTGTGAACTGTTCTAATAAATGCATAATGCAATTGAAGAAATGCTAGACTTCATGTGATTATCCCTAATAAGAATGAGGATTAGTGATTTTTTTTTCGCTCTATTTTTCATTTAGTTATAGAAATTGACCATTTTGTTTTTTCACTAACTAAGTGTAATAATAATTTTGAACTTATTCATCAAATAATAATTATTACTAATTTAACTAATTATAAATCCAGACTAAAAGTTTTTGGAAATTATACACTTATAAAAAATATTATAGCAAATTACTTTCTTCAAGTTATTTATTTTAAAACTAATATTATCATTTTATTTTATTTTATTAAGTGATTTTTGAATAGCTAATTAGTTTAATGGGATAGCTAAGCTAACTCCTACAAATTTTAGAAACAATTGTTATAATAATACTACTATTAATTAAATATTTTTAGTTAATTAATTGGTCACGGTCCCTTAAATTTATAAAAATCATGTTATTTATTATATTGTGTGTCATCTTTTTTTATAGTGATTCATATATAAGTAAAATATTTTATAAATATATTTTTATTTAAAAACTGACAGTTGAAACCAATTTTAGAGAATGTTTGGATACAAGTTGTCCTAAAAAAATAAATTATTTTTAACCAATCGTTTTTTTTAAATCAAATATAACTTTAACCAGCTCCACTATCCTCTATATTATAAATATAATTAAAAAAATAAAAATCAATCATTGTTACACATTATCAACTTTAATTTATTATTTATCTACTCACATAATTTTAACTAATTATCACTTCACATTATCTCTTTCCTACTCTTACATCAAATCAATTATAATTATTTTATTTTAAATATTATTTTATTATAAACTCAAAATTCGACTAACAACTATTCATACTATATTTTTTCAAGTTTATCCAAACCAAATAAAAAATAATCCAATTAGAATAAAAAATCTTATATCCAAACATCCATTTTCGTTGGTTTTCTTTAATTATTTTTATTCATTTATTGTATTTTAAAACGTGTAACAAAAATACAGAGAGCCCGGTTTTACCGACTTTTCTACTATTACGGTTCTTGAACATCTGGGAAGCCCAAAACTGATACTCATTCGAAAGACCAAATATCACCTGGACTGGACCGAGGCACATATCGAGCTCAACCCACAGTTTCGGCTCAAGTTACAGACCCAACTATATATGTGGGATGTGGCTTAAATAAAATCTCTTCAACTCAACTACAAAAGAAACCTATTTCATTCCCGCGTTCCAATTACCTTGAAGCGATCAACCCCAAAACACCATGAAGGCTCTCGATCAGATGCTTCCTTGGTTAATTTCATAATTTAATTGCTCATTTTTCGTCTCGAATGGATTTTCCTGCGTCGTTAACTGCAAATTGGATTTTCCTTTTTATTTTTTCCGAATTTTATCTCATCAGGAAGTGAAATCTAGTTCGGCCTCTGATTGTGGATCAGTGAAGAGAAAAACCGGGCCCGATGAGGACGCATTAGCTGCTTCTTCAAAGAAACAAGCAGTTTCTGGTACTGATATGTTCGAGGAGGTACGTAGAGTTCTCCTCGACTCCCGGGCTTTAGATGTTTTATTTTATGTCGAAATTTCTCCTTTCCATGGATCAATTGCTTAATTACGGTTGTGTTGATTTTTATCATTCTATTCGGGGAACCATAGCTCGAATGCTCGATTAGATTACAAGCAAACTATTCGTGTATTAGTTAGTAATATATTTGTCGTTGGTTTGGTTTTTAATTGGGTCACGAAAAGGAATATGAGGATAATTGCTTCATTATTATTGTGCGTTGATTTTTATCGTTTGATTCGGGTAAACATGGCTCAATTATATGGGCTTGACCACATGTGCCGTTGTTATGATACAGAACAAACTATTCGTTAGTAACATGTTTGTTGTTGGTTTGCTTTTAATTGGGTCACGAGAAGGATACTCGTTTCTAAGGATCAATTGAATGAATTTAATGGAAAATATTTGTGTGGAATGAAAGAATTGAGTGTTTAATGAATGATCTTTCCATTAGGAAGTCAAATCTGGTTCAGCTGCTATAAGTAAGGTAGAGCCTTATGATGCATCTTTAGTTGCTTCCGTTGGTAAGAAACAATCAACCTTTGATGCCGTTGGGCATGCTTATGAGGTATGTTGAGAGCTTCTTCTTGACTGACCTTAGTTGATTTTATGACATGGAAGATACTCTTTTTTTTTCTTAATTGTATGATGATTTTCTATTCGATTTGGGAAACCATGGCTCACGTGGATTAGTTGTATTCCTTTTAATTGGTCCCCAGGATGAGGAGGAGGAGGTTAATATGGTTACTGACTATGATGTGCTTGACAATGCACCACCCATGATTAAGTTAGAGTATTGGACTACTCTTGATACGAAAGTAAGTCTATTTTATTTTAACCCAAAAAAAATTATGCTCGATGATTTTTTTATTTTTTTATTTTTTTTTAAAAAATATTTTACCTCCTCTTTTGTGTTGGTTGGGGAAATTTACTCCTGAAATTAAGGGTTCGAAAGCATTTTTTTAGTTTCATTACTGTTATGAATGATATAGGATGATGATTTGAAAGATGAGCTTGCTAAACATTTTGATCGTGGATCAGACCAATTCAAGGCAGCACTTGAAATGGTAAGTGATAGCTACGAGTTTTACATACCTTTCACAATACTATTAAACTTTTCAAGTTGCTGTGCTCGTGTCCTTTGTGTCTACTACTTTGTTATGAAGCTTTTTCCAATTGAATGGTTATGCACTGCGTAATGATATTCCTGATGGCTGGCCTTTTGCTGATAAATTAAATGTTAGTTGTGATAATTCAATTTCAGCTTGGTGGTAATCTGCTTGAATATAAGGCTCGAGTTGGCGGGGGTTCTGATCATCCTAATGGCGGGAACGTGATTGTGGGAGCTTTATTGCGCCAAGATGGTAGTCTTTTGTGTTCATTCTTTAACCTAGATTGCGAATAACCTAGGAACACTTGTGCTCGACTCAATCTTCTTTGGCTTAATCCGCTGTTCGGTTGTGAAACTCTATGTTGCATGATTAGACTGTAGGATGAATTGCATTTTCATTGATGTAACGAATCAGAAATGAATGTTGTCTGTATGATTAATCAACATGCATTGTTGAAATTATTAATCTTTATTTGTAAGCAAATCTTACATATAAAAATTTAGTTATTTTTTTGTGTACTCAATGGCTATTTTCCATTAACTATAAATTGACTTAAATAGAATTATTTTGACTGTAGATTGATTAGATATATTTTCAATAAAATCTTAATATTAATTTCATAGCAATTTATTGACACAATTATAAAAAAGGTCCACGTGGTGATGAAAATGAGTGATTGAGACTAAGACATTCTTCTTTTGATGAAACAGCAACACAGGAAGATCCTTTCTTCAAGTGATTTCGCATTGGTTTTCTTTTTTAAATTTTCTTTTCTAAGTCATAGAAGACTAACTTAAAGTATAAACATACTTTGATATTATCTGTTTTGGGTCTGAGCCCTCACGGTTTTATTTTTGGACTCAACTCCAAAAGCTAATGAAGATATGTGCTCATCCTTTAATTAGAGTAAAGAGGGGAAGGAAATTCACAACTCAACGATTGTGTTTTTCATGTTGATTAGCCGATTTGAATTACTGGAAAACCATATTTAATTAACCGAGATAAATATCGTAAACCAACTCACTTCGATCTCCAACCATCTACTTTAATTCACCTCGGCATTCCACTTGCAAAAAGTCAATTTGACGATCTCCGTTTGGTCGTTAGATTTATGTTTGTAATTTGTGATTGTAAAGCTAGTGATAATTTTATGTTTTTGCAACTAAATTGGAATAGTCAAAGGTTTCAATAAATCAGTTGTAATGAACAAAAAGAAAAAAACAAAAATCGCGAATTTCGAGTCTGGAAGGCCGAAAAATGACCAAATAGAGTCATGGTTTTGCTCAAGTATCATGATATAAGTTCTTAATAATAATAACAATAATAATAATATAATAACAATAATAATAGTGTTAAGAAAAAACAAAAGGAAACCGGTTTTACCAATTTGACCGATTTCCACAGTTCGGTTCTTGAATATCTGGAAAGCCCAAAACTGACACTCGTTCGAAAGCCCAAAACTGACACTCGTTCGAAAGCCCAGATACGATCTGGACCGAGGCAAAAATGGGGCTCAAAGCCGAAATTTCAACTCAAGTTACAGGCCCAACTGTACATGTGGCAATAAATAATATTGAGGAAATTGCACACGTTACAAGACATATTGTCTTTTATTGCAAAATTACCAAATTTATAAAATTAATTACAAACTTACCAGATTTATAAAAAATGATTTTTTTTAAATATGCAATTAATATTCAACTTAATTAAAGGTAGACTTATCACCTTCCAAACCAACATTCCACGACACTTTCTCTTTCTCTCTCTCCCCCTATCTCTTCATCTCCTTCTTCTCTCTCCCTCTCTCTTTTTTTTTCCTGATCGTTGCGTTTTTTATGTGGGCAAGAAGAACCGAAACAGGTTGGTGGTTAATTTTTATTTTCTCTTGAAAGAAAAGGAGCAGTGCGTGAACATAGACAAAAAGGGAGCAGCCATTTATTTGTTTTGTGCAAGCATAGCGTGAACTAAAAACGATGAGGGTAGAAAGGCAGCAGCGTGGCCGCCCGAGGAGTTTGTCCAAGGCGCCTTGAGGAGACGAAGGACGATCGGAGAATTTTGTTGTTAGGTTTTAGTTGAGAGGAGGACCAGACCAGACGGTATATATGTAGTATATTTATACTTTTTTTGTTGTTTGTGTAGTTGCATATATATACTGTATATTTTTCGTATATATATTGTTTATATTTTTTTGTATGCACACTATTAGAGTGTGTATAGTTTGAATTTTTTATACGAAAAATTTGAATTGAAAATCATAAGGATCATTGTTTATATTCTGTATATTTTCTGTATATGTTGTGTTCTCCACCATCTCGTTGCTAGCTTATAAAATGATCTTAGGTATATATATATTGTATATTTTTCGTATATATACTGTTTATATTCTGTATATTTGCTGCTCGTGATGGGACGACGTTGCTCGTGATGGACGACACTTCTCGTGATTGTTTAATTCAAATTTTTCCTTTTTTTTTTTAATTAATGAAAGAATCCCGTTAGTTACGGGATTCTTGAGATGGTAACTCCTAATTTTTTGTTTGGCAGTTATATTGTAGTTATCCAAATAATTATGTTAACTTAGGCATACTTGTAAATAAATTTTTATTTTTGTATTTGTGCAATTATTTTAAAATCTTTAATGTAGAAGTGCAAATTACCCAATAATATTTCTCTTCCACTCGAAGACAAAAGAAACCTATTTCAATTCCCGCGTTCCAATTACCTTGGAGATCAACCCCAAAACACCATGAAGGCTCTCGATCAGGTCTTTCCCTGGTTAATTTCATATATTACATGCTCAAATTTCGACACGAATGATTTTTCCTGCTTCGTTAACTGCAAATTGGATTTTTCTTTTTAATTTTTCCGAATTTTATCACATCAGGAAGTGAAATCTGGTTCGGCCTCTGATAGTGGATCAGAGAAGAGAAAAATTGGGCCCGATGAAGACGCATTAGCTGCTTCTTCTAAGAAACAAGCAGTTTCTGATACTGATATTTTCGAGGAGGTACGTAGAGTTCTTCTCCTCGACTGCCGGGCCTTAGATGTTTTTTTTATGATGTCGAAGATTCTCCTCTAAGGATCAATTGCTTAATTATGAATGTGTGTTGATTTTTATCATTCGATTTGGGGAAGCGTGTCTCGAATGCTCGATTGGATTCGTATTTGAGTTCGACAACTTTTGCCGTTATGATACAAGCAAACTATTCGTTTATTAGTTTCTAATATATTTATTGTTGATTTGATTTTAATTGGGTCACTAGATGTTTTTGTGGATCAATTGCTTCACTATTATTCTGCATTGATTTTTATCGTTCAATTCTGGGAAACATGGCTCGATTATATGAACTCGACAACATGTGCCCTTGTTATGATACATAACGAGCTATTCGTTAGTAACATGTTTGTTGTTGGTTTGCTTTTAATTGGGTCACGAGAAGGATACCCGTTTCTAAGGATCGACTGAATGAATTCAATGGAAAGTATTTGTGTGGAATGAAAGAATTGAGTGGTTAATGAATGATATTTCCATTAGGAAGTCAAATCTGGTTCAGCTGCTAAGAGCAAGGTAGAGCCTTATGATGCATCTTTAGTTGCTTCCGTTGGTAAGAAACAATCAACCTTTGATGCCGTTGGGCATGATTATGAGGTATGTAGAGAGCTTCTTCTTGACTGGCCTTAGTTGTTTTTATGACATGGAAGATACTCTTTTTTCTTTTCTTTTCTTTTTTAATTATTGTATGTTGATTTCTGTTGGATTGGTTGGATTCGTATTAAATGGTCCCCAGGATAAGGATGAGGATGAGGAGGAGGAGGTTGATATGGTTACTGACTATCATGTGCTTGAAAATGCACCACCCTTGATTAAGTTAGAGTATTGGACTACTCTTGATATGAAAGTAAGTCTATTTTATTTTAATCCAAAAAAAACTATGCTCGAAGAATTGATTTTTTGTTTTTGTTTTTAATTTTACCTCCTCTTTTGTGTTGGTTGGGAAAATTTACTCCTGAAATTAAGAGTTCGAAATCATTTTTTTAGTTTCATTACTGTTATGAATGATATAGGATGATGATTTGAAAGATGAGCTTGCTAAACATTTTGTTCGTGATCAGACCAATTCAAGACAGCACTTGAAATGGTAAGTGATAGCTACGAGTTTTACATACCTGTCACAGTACTATTAAACTTTTCAAGTTGCCGTGCTCGTGTCTTTTGTGTCTACTACCTTTTCATGAAGCTTTTCCAATTGAATGGTTATGCACTACGTAATGATATTCCTGATGGTTGGCCTTTTGCTGATAAATTAAATGTTAGCTCTAATGTATTGTGATTATTCAATTTCAGCTTGGTGGTCATCTGCATGAACATAAGGCTCGATTTGGCGGGGATTCTGGTCATGATCATCCTAATGGCGGGAACGTGATTGTGGGAGCTTTATTGCGCCAAGATGGTAGTCTTTCGTGTGCATTCTTTAGCTGAAAAACTGTCCACTTCCGCATGGGCTTTATGCAATAATGTAGTTTTCTGTAGTTATAGCATGCGACTAACCTAGGAACACTTGTGCTTGACTCCATCTTCTTTGGCTTAATCCGCTGTTTGTGTGTGAAACTCTATTTTGCTTGATTAGACTGTAGGATGAAATGCATTTTCATTGCTTTAGTTTCTTGCTGGTAATAATATATGGTTTGAACGAATCAGAAATGAATGTTGTCTGATTATGATTAATCAACATGCATTGTTGAAGTTATTTTTCCATGTGGTGGTGATAGAGTGATTGAGACTAAAGACATTCTTCTTTTGATGAAACAGCAGATAAAATGGGCCTGGTATTGGCAATTAACTAAGGAAAATCCTTTCTTCAAGTGATCTCTTATTTGTTTTCTTTTCTAAATTATATAGAACACTTCACTAACTTAAAATATAAAGATAATTTGATATTGTCTGTTTTGTGTATGAGCCCTCACGGTTTTATTTTTGGACTCAACTCCAAAAGCTAATGAAGATATGTGCAGTGTGCTCATCCTAACTTAAAATTTCAAGAACTAATAATTTTAATTTGAATAAGATAAAGTTTAGCAAAGATGAAAACACGAATCATGCTAGTTTAACTTGTAACCGAACAAGCTTCCCAAACACGACCTAATAGGAGCTCACTCACTCGCCTTCCTCCGTCTCCCGCCGCTAATAGCGTCTCCTTCTTCACGCGCCTCCGCCCCCTCCCTCGGACTCACAGGTTGTCGGTAGCTACTGTCGATTCTCAGAGACTCGGGCCTAAAATAAGCCCCCATTTCCAGGTTTTGTTCTCAACTCGTTATGGAAAAACCATGTGGTTCAATCAGTGAATTTAAAAAAATGCAATGCCTAGGAGTTTGAGCATCCTATCTGTGGCCGCGAGATTCTAATGTGTGGAGGTTTTCCTTTTCCTTTTCCTTTCCTTTTTTTGGGTGAAGTTCATTAGTGAGAGATAGTACTGAACCACAGCCACCAAGTAGATTTATATGCTGCCTAAACTTCGTCTGATATTCGAGATGGTTAGCGGGTGAGGAGTGTTGACTGTTGAGTGTTTTTTCAGGAAAAAGAGTCTACTTTACATATCAATACATTATATAGTATGATTTCTGTGCCTCACACTAGCTGATTTTGCCTCTGTGAATTGGTCATTTAACAAAGTTTTAGTTATGAAGTCTTATCCGATGACTCAGTTCCAGTTTCTATTTCAAGGTGCTCAAAAGGATAGGTGGAGTAATTATAGAAAGTAGAAACATGACACCAACTTTAGTAATTGCAATCTAAAACATCTGACTGTACAAAATGTTGCTACTTCTTTTCTGCTGTTAGTGAAATAGTAAATAGTGTGATTCAGTGTCTTATTAAATGTAATGTTGTTAAGTGTATTGCAATTGACTTTTGTAAAACTCAAAATTGAACTTAACAGATATTTTTAATAGAACTTTTTAAATAATTGAATACTGACGGAAGCATGCCTTTTGTAGAAGTTTTCTGGCGAAGGGGTTCTTTTGGCACTCAAAGTTGGAAGCACTCCACATCTAACCTTCTGTACTATCAAAATGCAGCAATCTTTTCCGCATAAAGGCCGAAAAATGACCAAATAGAGTCATGGTTTTGGGTCTGAGGAGTTGGAAGGATGCGAATTTCGAGTGTGGAAGTACATTATAAATGTCAATCTTGCTTCAGCCACTCAAATGTATAGTTAAATGTTTCAATAAATCAGCTGTAATGAACTCTAAGAGGTTGGATGGGCCTGACGTGAAGCCCTTGCCTGAGACAACTCTTGCTTAGTCAAAAAAACCGCTGCCTGTGAAGTCTAATTGTCTTAAGCCTAATCATGAAATATTCAACGGGCCATTAGTCGAAGCCATACATGAGATCTCCATTTATATTCATCATTTTCACAACCTCGATTTGTTTCAGCAAGGGTTTGTGTAATATCAGCTCAACTTCATACAACCTCGATTTTTCACTTTTTTTTTGCAGATGAACAATCTGTCCGTCCAGGATAGCTGGAGTTGACCCTAATCCCTCAAACAAATTGACGGTGGGCCCTACTCGAAAAAATGCCCGTGTTCTTAAGATTGTTGTTTTTGTACATGGATTCCAGGCACGTTCTTATGATATGCTCATACGATAGTACCTTAGTGCATGCTTGGATACAAATTTTTCAAAGAAAAAAAAATCCAATCATTTTTAATCAATCACTTTTTTTTTTGTTTAATCAAATCTAACTCAATTTTAACTCAAACCCCACTATCCTCAGTATTATCAATATAATTAAATAATATCACTCAATTATTCTTGCACATTACATCAATTTTAATTCACTATTCATCAACTCACATAATTTTAACTAACCATCACTTCACATCACCTCTCTCCTACTTTTACATCAATTCAATTTTATTTATTTTATTTTAAATATTATATAATATAAACTCTAAAGCCCACTAACAACTAATCATACTACTTTTTTTAAAATTAACCATACCAAACAAAATATATATCCAAGCATTTACTTAACGTCTTGTTGGCCTGTATTTCTACTCTCATTATCTTGCCTTTCTTCTGGAGTTTTCACAATGTTGCAATTGTCCAATATGTCTTATCAAGCGTTTGCTAATCTCTTGAAGTTAGCATTTAATGTATAATGAATATCTGGACTTTCTTATATGTTTGCATGAGGAAACATTAGTTTATGACTTTATTCTACTAGCTGTTCTTTACTTTTTTATCCTAAATATCCATTGTGTGTACTGTGCAGGGACATCATCTAGACTTGAGACTTATCCGGAACCAATGGCTTCTGATAGACCCAAAGGTGGAATTTCTTATGTCTGAGGCCAATGAGGATAAAACATCTGGCGATTTTAGAGAAATGGGACAAAGGCTAGCACAGGAAGTTGTATCTTTTATCAAAAAGAAAATGGATAAGGTGTCGAGAACTGGGGTCTTAACAACACTTAAGCTTAGTTTTGTTGGACATTCCATTGGAAATATCATCCTGAGAACTGCTTTCGCAGGTTTTAGACTATAAGCTCACATCCAAAATAAATAAATAAAAGTGCTCCTGTTTTCTAATTAACTTGCAGTGGTGATATTGATTATTGACTCTGCAGATAGCATTATGGAACCGTATCTGAGATACCTGCATACATATCTCTCGGTCTCGGGCCCACATCTCATTTATCATAATAGTTCGAACTCTCTATTTAATGGGGGCTTGTGGCTCTTGAAGAAACTCAAAGGAACTCAATGCATTCACCAGTTGACTTTTATCTGATGATACTGATTTGCGAAGTACTTTCTTGTACAAACTGTGTCAGGTACATTTTGTACTCTCAACTGCTGACTGAAATTTTGGATGCTGCTGTTTGCTCGTTTTGTTGATGGTTGAGCTGGTAAAAAAAACATATGCCAGTTATAGGAAATGTGGCTTTGTTAATTGAGTTCATAAACTGTATTGAGATTTTGAGATGAATTTTTTAAAGGGAAAAATGATTTCCATTTTAAGATAGCTTCTACCTAATATATATATTTTTTCCCTTCACTTGTTTATTTTTCCTGTCTTTTTTTTTTCCTTTTGATTTTACCTTTGCTCATTTTGAGAAAGCATGGTAGGATACTCAAAAAAATTGCAAGTAATTATGAGTTGTAGCCATTCTAGAATGATTCTTATCGTATGTGGCACTTTTATAGTTTGGATCGGATATTATACTGTGGTATACTGAGAAGAGATCCATCTTCCGAAATTTCATGCTTGATTTGTATAATCCGTTACCAAAGTAGGAAAGACAGAGAGAATGATTGTTTTATATAGTTAATTTTACTACTAGAAATGTAAATTAATCCGTGCTTTTGAAATTACTGAGGATTGTAATTAGATCACAATTAATTTGGAGCCTGAACTTAACATAAGTAAGAAGAGGAGGGTCAAGTTTATTTAGGTGGGTTTCTGTACTATAACTTCTACAGGTTTGTGTTATAATATAGACAGGGTTTATCTCATACCTACTCACAATAAATTTTCTTCGTAGAAGTGTATTAATGACTAAAAAAATGCTACAAGTACATAATAAATGTACATAGAGGTGTACATAACACTCACATACAGTGGGAG